CCCAAATCGATGCTTAATGGACTCAATCATCGTTGAAGGATAGCCTCAGGCCGAATCCGTGATCTGTAGCCTTCAATATCCAAAGAAAATGGCCTTTCGTCACCCAAAAATTACGAAAATGTCATCAGAAAATAAATTGGCCCAAATCGGTGCTTAATGGACTTATCATCCGTGGAGAATAAGACCAATAGACTTCATTATCGGTAGAGAATAGCCTCGGCTTGATTCTGTGATCTGTAGCCTCAAGAATTGAAAGTAATGGCATTTCGGAAAAATCGTACGAAATCTGTGATAGTACCCTTTCGGAATCTGGTAAAAATTGACCCGGAATAAATCCGCCCAAATCGGTGCTTAATGGAACTAATCATCGTTGAAGAATAGCCTCGGCCTGATTTCGTGATATATAGCCTTCAATATCCATAGAAAATGGCCATTGATCGCCCAAAAAATTACGAAAATGCCATCCGAAAATAAATTGGCCCAAATCGGTGCTTAATGGACTTATCATCACTGGAGAATAGGACTAGTAGACTTAATTATCGACGGAGAATAGCCTCGGTTTGATTCTGTGATTTGTAGCCTCCAGAATCGAAAGCAATTTCAGAAAAATCGCCCGAAATCTGTGATGGTACCCCTTTGGAATCTGCAAAAAATTGACCCGGAATAAATCCGCCCAAATCAGTGCTTAATGGACTCAATCATCGTTGAAGAATAGACTCACGCCGAATCCGTGATCTGTAGCCTTCAATATCCAAAGAAAATGGCCTTTCGTCGCCCAAAAAATTACCAAAATGTCATCCGAAAATAAATTGGCCCAAATTTGTGCTTAATGGACTTATCATCCGTGGAGAATAGGACTAGTAGACTTCATTATCGGCGGAGAACAGCCTCGGCTTGATTCCGTGATCTGTAGCCTCCAGAATTGAAAGCAAATGACATTTCGGAAAAATCGTCCTAAATCTTTGATGGTACCCCTTTGGAATCTGCCAAAAATTGATCAGGAATAAATCCGCCCAAATTGGTGCTTAATGGACTCAATCATCATTGAAGAATAGCCTCAGCCTGAATGGGTGAGCTGTAGCCTTCAATTTCCAAAGAAAATGGCCTTTTGTCAACCAAAAGATTGCGAAAATGTCATTCGAAAATAAATTGGCCCAAATCGATGCTTAATCGACTTATCATCCGTGGAGAATAGGACCAATAGACTTCATTATCGGTGGAGAATAGCCTCGGCCTGATTCTGTGATCTGTAGCCTCCAGAATCGAAAGAAAATGGCATTTCGGAAAATCGCCCGAAATCTGTGATGGTACCCCTTTGGAATCTGCCAAAAATTGATCCGGAATAATTCCGCCCAAATCGGTGCTTAATGGACCCAATCATCGTTAAAGAATAGCCTCAGGCCGAATCCGTGATCTGTAGCCTTCAATATGCAAAGAAAATGTTCTTTCGTCACTCAAAAAATTAAGAAAATGCCATCCGAAAAAAAATTGGCTCAAATTGGTGCTTAATGGACTTATCATCCGTGGAGAATAGGATCAATAGACTTCATTATCGGTGGAGAATAGCCTCGGCGTGATTCCGTGATAAAGTAGCCTCCAGAATCGAAAGAAAATGACATTTCAAAAAAATCACCCGAAATCTGTGATGGTACCCCTTTAGCAATCGGTGGCTGTATTGCATGAAACATCGGCCGGATGTATGCATTGAACTATTCAAAACTCGTCTCGTTGCCAAGGGATTTCACTAGAGGCCAGGAGTTGACTTCCACGAGACCTTTAGTCCCGTTCTCAAGCCTGTAACAGTCCGCACAGTATTCACCATTGCCCTCTCTCATAACTGGTTGATCCATCAATTCGATGTCAACAACGCATTCCTTCGGGGTCCACTTCAGGAAGAGGTTTACATTGCACAATCTCTTGGATTTCGGGATCCCCAGTTCCCTAATCATGTGTGTCGACTGCGCCAAGCTATCTGAGGTCCGCTGGGTTTGCAACATTCTCTCTGAGCTGCACCAACCACTTCCGCATGCCCCAGTTCTCTTCTCTGACAACATGGGGGCGGTCAACTTCAGCTCCAACCCCGTGTTTCACTCGCGCATGAAGCATCTTGCGTTGGATTACCACTTCGCATGTCCGCTTGTCCAAGGCGAGCAACTCATCGTCCGTCATGTGCCTACAGCTTCTCAGCTTGCGGATGTTTTTTACTAAACCCCTTCCCTCCACCCGCTTATGCCTTCTCTGCTCCAAGATTGGGCTTGCGAACGCCGCCTCCATCTTGGGGGGCGTATTAAGGATAAGTCTTTATCCTAGTTGTAGTAGGATTGTAATTAAACTTTGTTCTAGTAGGATTGTAATTAGTCTTTCCTTTCCTTGTACGTATTGTATTGATGTAACATTGGCTATAAATAACCCTCTTCTATGTTAATACAACACAACATTCATAATCCTTACACTTTCTTGTGATGAGCCAAAATAACAACAGAAAAGGATGTGCCTATCTTCCTTGATCCTCTTCTGGCTTCCCTAATCTTTTTGCATTCCCACTCATTTACCAAGCACAATTAAATCTCTTTTTTGAGAGTTGTGTGGTGTATGCATTGTACAGTTTTGTGCTTTGTCGTAAATTATGTGTCAACTTTTATATTATCGCCGGAAAATGACCGATGATCGTGAATTTCAATGCAGTTTTGTGCTTTGTCGTAAATTATGTGTCAACTTTTATATTATCGCCGGAAAATGACCGATGACCGTGAATTTCCTCTTTCTCTCATGGTCCTAGTGTGTTGCTGTGGTTTTTGAATTATGTGGTTAAGAGAGACAAGGAGCTACGAAGGAGTGGTTGGTTATTTATTGATCTCCCAAGTAACCATATAATGCACAACCAAACAAGTGAAGCATATGTGGACCAAACTAGAGATCAATCAGTATCTCATATCATACTATTGCATTGTTTACGCCTCCCTACTTCCACGAGATAACAAACAATTGACCACATCCTAATCACCATGCACCTCAATTGATAAATATGATTAAAATTCATGGGTTGGGCTTTCGGTGGTCCACAAGCGGGTTGGTAGGCTCGCAAGAGATGGCAAGCGAACTGGCCCATTGGGCTTTTGAGCATTGTAATCTCAAGTCGGTCCGACGATAGCTTACCGCCGTTTACCGGTGGGGGAAAAACACTAACTGCCGCCATCGATCGCCGTCCGATATCCTCCCGCCTCCTTTGACCCATTTCCGCACTGACGATCACCACCACGGAACCACCGCCCTCCCGACTCGCCGGGCCACTGCCACGCCGCCTTCACGCGTACGTTCCCTCACACGACGGGCGCCAATTAGCCACAATCATCCTAAGTTTCCCAAATCTCGACGATTTAGTTCCCGAATCCACGTTTTGTCTGTCGAACACACAAAAACAATGAAAATTTGAGGACACTTCTCGTCACCAAGATCTACAGCTTCATCGATTCAATTGGATCGCGGAGTTCCAATGAATCCACCCCTAAAAAACTATCCAAGTGGAGGATCTAATGCGTTAAAGTTCGGATTTTTTGGGTACCTTTTGGAATCCGACGATTTCCTCTGCAATCTAAGCCTCTCGTCCAGTCTCTCCTTGGCTTCTCTGGCTACTCCTCCCAGCTTCTCATCCTCTTTGGTCTCAATCTGCACGCTTCTCTGCTATACAAAAAAGAAACGTGTTTCTGTCAAAAATTGAAGTCCAGAAAAGGGAAAGTGAAACCTCTGTTTCATTAAAAAACAGGGGAATGGTTTAAATCATGAACAGATTTAGATGGATTCGCAATTTACCGATGAAGTGAAAGAAGAGTAAGAGGCTTCGTAGTTGGTGGCATACAAACCGAGCGAGGACCTCCGCGATCCGCCGGGAGAATCGCCGCCGGTTGGGCGGAGCCGTCTTCTCCGAGCGCATTCCACGCCGGGCAACATTCCCGCCATGATTGATTACTACCCAGAAGAAGGAACACAGAAAGAGAGGAATTTCGGAAGGGAGTAGATTGAATCAGGTACTAAACAGGTGAAGCATTAACTACCCATTATAGGTAGAGGAGAAACTTGAAATGGGTTCCTCCAAAGTTTTAATTTTTTTTTTAATGGGGAAAGATGGAAGAAAGATCAAAAGATGATCTTTGTTCTGGAATTATTTGGACTTTTTCGCCATGTGCAGCTTCCAGGCAATGGTTTGGCCGCCTAGAGGAAGTTTCGTTGCCATCTCTAACAGAGAGTGAGAGAAAAATATAAAATCATATAAGTTGTCACTAATCGAGTCAAAGTAACTCAACTCATTTTTTAGATTACAATTTACAAGACAAGTGGGGTTGTTTTAGTTCAGAATTAAACCGAATTAGCCTACAATTTGATAAAAAAAATTTTGAAAGAAAAAATAGATCTCCAAACTAATCTTCAAATTTAGGGATTAAAAATTTCATAAGAACAGAAATTACAATTTTATTTTTAGTATCCAAAAGAATTTGTACTTTATATTTTACAAAATTCATATAATTGATACAAAAACAACAGTATTTTATGTTGGTTCTTCGATTTAATCCGAACATAATAGGACAAATTCTTCTTGCTAAATGCACGCCTAACTAGCTAATAAGAACTTCTAAGTTCCATCCTACATATAGGCCCACTGGAGACAACGGTGACGGGCTAACACGAACTTCCATCCCACATACAGGCCCACTAGAGACATATGGGCCCAGAACCACGACCGCTACCTTCTCTACGACATCGTTTTAATCATCACACATGATCAAATCACTAACCGCCACAACGGCTAGTTCCTCTTGAAGTGACCGTTCCTAATCCCCTCGCAAATTCAAACTTCCTGAAGTGCGCCTCAACCCAGCTCCAACAAACGATCCCCGCCTCCCCGGTCATTTCCATCCTCCAAGAGCTCAACACGATAAGAACTTAGCCAGTTAGCAGCTCTGGTGATCCCAATCAGATCTTCTTCTTCATCGTCGTCATAAAAAATGGCCTATAACTACACGCCAGCTTACTACTCCACGCTCCACGACTCCATAACTTCCCTCTGCAAGACCATCCTCCCTTTCTCCTTCAAGAAGCGCGGCCGGCTCGCCGCGGCGGAGCACCGAATCAACAAGATCCAGTCCGACAACCTCAAATGGCAGCAGGACTCGTTCCACCAGATCCTCAATCTGACGGGACTCCATAAAGCAGGGATCTTGGAGCAGCACGAGGTCTCGGCGTTCCGATCCCACTTGCTCGAGACCCTCATCGCTTCTCCAACGGAGCACGAGCACGCCGCCGTCTTGCGGGACAAATTGCTCTTCCTCCAGGTAACAAGAAAGTTAGAGTCTTTACTATCAAATTGGGGATTTTTCCCTTTTTAACAGAACGAGACGTAAAGTGGAGAGATTCAATTCAACTGGTTCGTTTTTTAGGAGTTGCTGTATGCGAAATGTATAACGGAGGAAGAGTACCATTCGTCGAAGGGGCCATTGATGCAGAGAATGGCGGTCCAAGGTGCAGAAATCGAGGCGAGGGATGTGGTCGTAGGCGGGAAACAGAGCGAAGTGGATGAAAACAGAGATGAAGAATGGTCAGTGATTGATTTGAGAGACGAGAAACGTGAGTCTACTCCGCAATCCAAGCGAAAATCAAAGGAGCAGAGCTCACCTGCGTTGAAGCAGATCAAAGGGGCGGGTTCTTCTCTGTTCGGATTTAACAAGCAGAGTAATAGGAGGCAGAGCATATTCGAGATCGAGGCTAAACGGCCGTCCTGTGGACAACATAATAACAACAGCGGAGAAATGTACGAGAGCCCAATTGTGAATGGTGGTAACTCAGTGAAGGGGAGCGAAACAAAGTCGATTCTGATGCAAGCAAGCGGAAAGACAGCTGCATCTCCGAGGAAGGAGAATGGGAGTGGCGAGAAGGTGAAGAGGAAGCCATTCAGGACTCTGTTTGATAAAGAGCAGAGTAGCGTGAAATCTGCGAAGAAGAAGCAATGGTGGAAGAGGAATGATTCGGAGGACGAGACAGCTCCTCTGCCACTGAACATTGGAAGAGCAGGAGATTGTGAAGATGACTATGGAAACCTTGTTACAAGCCCGATCGGAGAAGGCCCTGATACGAAACAGATCAAAAGGAAGCTTCACTCCGATGGAACCCCTTCGGATTTCTTCATTGACAAAGTGTTAGGGAATAACATAAAGAAAGAGCTGTTCAGGATTCAAACTGAGCTCTCCACCACCAATCCAAATCTGAAACTCTCGTAAGCCTTTCGTTTTCATATAGGTTAGTGTTGAATATACAGAGCATATTTTAAAGGTGTTTGCGATCAATTTTTTTAGGGATGACCAAATGGAAGCAATCTCCACTAAGCTTCCTGTTGACAAAGCTGACCTCAAGAACTTCTTTCCCAAGTAAGTCTACAAATGAACCCTTCGGCTGAAAATGATTCCAGTTTCTATGTACCACACTGATTTTGACGGATATTGGAATTGAACGAAGGTCATGGTGTGACCAATATGGCGATGTGGTGAAGAAAGAGTTCAAAGATCATGTTGGTGAGATGGAGAACATGAGAAATGCTACCAGGGAAAAGCATCTGAATAACTCAAAGAGGTGGACGACATTCAGTGATGATGATGATCATGTGGGTGAGATTGAGAGCATGAAGAATGTTACCAGGGAAAAGAATCTGAACAACTCGAAGAGATGGACGACATTCGATGAGGACGATGATGAGAATATCCACCCGAATCTTTTCAGTAGTCTCACCTATAGCAACAACATCAACAAGAGCAATAACCCGTTCCTTCAAGATTCTAGCATCACAGGGAAGAGCCATCATTGGATTGAGAAGCCACAATCGTTATCAACTTCCTTCCAGAATCCGTTCTGGAACGGCTCTTCTCTGTTTCATTAGCAACCAGAGTTGTTTGTTTATGTTATTTGCAGTGTATAAAACTGCCAAAAAAGAAGAACCATGTTCTTCTATAATCTGTTTGTCGATGTAGATTCCGGTTCTTTCGGTATCATAGTAGATGAGTTTCAAATGTATACAGAGATATCTGGTATATGAAAAGGCGATTCGATTTTTACCCAGGAATGTACAAAATGTTGGATGAAATGAACTTCCTTTCGCATGAGAGGGATATTTACATTGTGCAGCACATATAATTCTATGATCAGAGTGAAGGAATCTCCGAGGTGGAGACAGAATCGTTTTCACCCTGGCGAACATCTCCGCGACAGAGTGGGCAGACCCTAAAAAAAGCAAAAGCAAGGAAGAGCTCAGGGCAGAGATCATTGCAAACTAAAGTAAACAGCGGGGGAGCAAGCTTTTTTGTAATACCCGTGGATCTCTTTGAGCCATTTATCAACACATGACATGTGATACTCATGATGGCAGGGAAGAACTCTTATTTTATCCCCTTCTTCATAGTCCGACAGACAGATGTAGCACCTGTCAACCGATACACCATCATAAGTTTTAGCTAAGGTTCCATGAAAACTTGACACCATAAGAACATTAGGGAAGGAACGTACTGCTCGGCTTCTTCACCATCGTCGATCTTGTCCTCCTTTTTGTGATTCTTAAGAGGGAAAGAGTCGACCACAGATTCTGGAGCTGGGAGTGAGACCATGGACATAGAAAGTGAAGAAGGCTGGCGATGGATTTCATCCAAAACCTGAAAGAATAAGTATTGTTAAAATATAGCAACAAAGAGTCCAAGCACTATCAAGGAATCAAAGATAAGCCGCACCTCAAACAGTGCTTCAGCAAGCATGACTATCCGTGATATATTTGCACGAGTACTCGACTCCCTTCCTGACAAGAGTGTTTCACATGAACAAGTACCCTCGGGGTGAAGTCCAGAAGGACAGAATGTTGTTCGCCGTTCGTCATCATCAAGGCTGCCAACAAGTCTCTCCCAAATCTTATGATGAAAGGTAAACGCAGAAGTTAGCCATAAAGATGCATGACAAACTATCTAATCGTTCTAAGTTTCTAACCAAATATTGAATGAAGTTTTGACGCACAACTAAAGGTCAAATAAGTAAGAGAGTCACCTCTGATCTAGATTGGCGTCTCCGGTCAGTCCAGCTATGAATCCTGCTGCCAAGGTATTCAGAATCGCTACTAGTAACACCATCGTCGAGAAAGTTGCCACTGAAATCAAGGAGCCATCTATCGTGAGATTGTAAATCATCAGGACTATCATCTGTAGAGAGCACAATGGTTGGAGAATCCATAGGCCTCCAGGAACTACGCCTCGAAAATGCATCCCAGAATAGTCGTCTACTGTTTCTTCTGGTCTCATGATAACTAGTCCTATCAGCAGTTCCCCTAGAGAAGATTCTGGAAGAGATGCTCACAACATCTACATGAAGAACATCACCATCATCCTGGGCCTGTTCCCTTATCGGAAGTCCTAAATCCTCAGTATTCGTTTCTTGCACAGAAACAGAATCAGAATTGTGCAGGGGCCAAGTTGTCATTTCATCCATGTGATTCTCGACGGAAAGCCTACCAAAACTCGATGTGTGCAGTAGACCTTGAGATGAACTCTCTGCATGCCTATACCTACTATTCTCTGGATTGTCAATACCATTGACTGCATGTTTGTTAGCCAATGTATTTACAGAGAGTGGATCTGAAGATGGTTGTTGTTCTCTAAATGAAGTACTAGCTTCATGACCACTATACCTATTCCTAAAAGAGTCGTCGTAGCTATATTCATCACATACCTGGGAAGAGACTAACTCCAAAGTTTCGGAGAAACGTCTCTCTTGATTACTTGTTCCTGAGTTTCTCAAACCACCTTCACCGGTAATTCTCTTGCTGGCTGTAATACTACTGCCTGTTGATGAATGACCAATACCACTACCAGAATTGGCAGAAACTGTTTCTGAACCAATTATGGCAGCCGATCCCAGTATAGGGCTTTGGATTTTGCTTGCTCCTGTGTCATCATTTTCCACAGAGCTCTTCAACATTTCATAGGGACGACCTTCCACCTACACAAAATCAAGAGGGAGGGTCGTTCAGAAGATTCATCAAACAAAATGAATCCACATATGATCAAACAGGCTCATAACATATAAACAAAAGCGGCACACCCATAAGAAGCACTCGAGTTAACACCACATATATACATGTCAATCAATTTGGGAACTATCCACATCTCGTGATTCAGAGTCTTCGATAGCTCAAACGGAAGAAACTAGATAAATAAAAAGGTCTCAGTGGCAAATGTGTGCCGCCTGCTGAACGACAGCAACAATCATCCATGTTCTTCCAAGATACTACTGAACTACGCATATGTCCATCATTCTACCACTTGTTCTTTTTTCGGTAGCAGACTTATCTCCTCTAAATGGATCATCAAGAGCTGACCACCTTGTTATACACGGTCAGAGACTCCAACATGGCAAGCTATAGTACCACCATTAGACAAAATCAAAGATATCGATTGGCATACTCATTCCCTTAATCACTCCGCTAAAACTTGATGGAATCAAGCTGTTATCCTAGATGATCAAGGTTGAGCACACAAAGAGCAACCTATAAACAATCCAAGAATCGCCCGACTAATCAAACCCCCCACACAATCACAAAAATCACCAACAAACCCACTAAAATTTGGCCTTCAAGAAAGCCATCCAGAAGTCAACAATGTTTGTTCCCGATCAGAAATGACAACCGCCCCACGATCAAAAACCCCAACTTTATTTAAGAAGCGGCAATTCACAACAACAAAGGGGAGAAATTTCGCCCTGTCGCTCTCACCTCAGCTGCAGCGCGGGAAGAAGAAGAGCCACCGCAGATGATTGATGACAGAATCCTTGAAGGTGAACGGTTGACAGGGGGGCTGCTGGGTCGGGACTCAGATGGGCGCGACCGCGGACGACTGCTGCCAGAACCCATTCCGGTCGCCGGACCACCGTGGTCTATAGAGAGCTCTGGAAAAAAAAGTGTGAGGGAGCCGATGCTGCTACGTCTCTGGTTTCAAATTCGGCTCCAGAAATGGGAACTCTTCAATTATTAAGAGAGAGATGATGAAATGGAGGGAGAGAGACGGAGAGGGATTTGTCGGGAATGGGGTTAAAAGGGAAACAAGGGGAAATATTCGGTGCCACATGCTGTCGAGCTATAATCTTCTTTCTTTCGTAATCCATTGCCATTTTCTTTCTTCGCCATTTCTTTGTTTGTTTGTTTCTTTCTTGGTGTATAGTGTAGGTTAGGGAAAAGGGAGGGAAGGGAAGGAAAGGAGGAGATGGTCTGCATAATCCAATGGGCTTTGGTCCCACCGAAATTGGGCTTGGTCTGATCTATTGTCGCCGACCAGACTAGGAAGGCCCAGTTTTGCAGCCCGAAGAATAGGAGAGTCCGGTCCAGGTATATATTTGCACAAACTAGGGTTTAAGATGGGAGCCATCGTTCTTCGCCTCTCTCCGCCTTCATTTTGCCGCTATCCCACCCTTTGCTGCTAGCTCTACGGAGAAACAAGCTCTCGATCAATCATGGCGGAGCAGGTTTTGTTCTCGTTCCTCTTGTTTTCCATTTTGGTAAAATGAGCTCTGAAATCGACCTCTTACCGAGAAGGGTTTTGGTTTTTTTCCTGTGTTATTTCAGACTGAGAAGGCATTTTTGAAGCAACCAAAGGTTTTCCTTAGGTGAGATTTCTCAATGAGCTAGGATCTTCTCTGCCCTGTTGATTGATTAGTTTTGCTCAAAGCCAATGTCTTTCGTGCTGACTATTTGATTCGTTGCTCTGTCGCTCAGCTCGAAGAAAACTGGCAAGGGAAAGAGGCCTGGAAAGGGAGGAAACCGCTTCTGGAAGAGCATTGGGTTGGGCTTCAAGACTCCCAGAGAAGCCATCGAAGGTATTTTGGTCTTGATATATTTTTTATTACGCTTCAGTTTGCGCCTTTGGTTCTCTGATTCCCTTGGATAAACTTGTGCGAGCTTATGATTGATAATGGGTATCGATCGTCTTGTAGGATTAGGTGCAATTATTGTGTTCAAATATTGCTTATAGGGGAACTCATAAGTGGTTGAACTGGCTATATTGGATGGATTAAGGTCACTTGATGCATAAAGTTAGGTCTTTTCAATTAATTTCCGAGTGTTGATCCCAACATGGCTGTGTAAATAACTTAGAGGTTCAGTACATTGAAATTGTTGCATAGTAGTTTTGAGAAAACTTAAACAAGATCTTGTGCTAAATCCTCTCCGGAGGAGTTAGATTGTCCTCCTCCTTTTTACTCTGCTCGAGGGCGACGAACTTATGTAGTCCTCCTGCTTACACTGCTCTACCTCGAGCAGAGCTACTTGTTCCCCCACTTGTAATGCCTGTTCAATGTGAGCTTGCAAATGTGAAGTTCATGTTCACTTTCTGTTTTCCATCTCGATGATGATCAATTGAAGCCATCTGGCTTTCAGAATTTCTAAGTATCTTCTTTAGTTTCTGGGAGAGTTTGTTTCTGTGAGTATTTGGCCAGCCCAAGACAGTAGGGTATTTTTCTGGCAGCATTTGTTTATGTTCCTTTCTGCATCTGACTACAGATAGATTTATTGAGAATGTCATGTGGTGCTTGAATATATGATGATTCCCTGCCTCATTAGTTATGTTGAATCTGGTCTTTCAGGAACATACATTGACAAGAAATGCCCCTTCACCGGCACTGTTTCCATCAGGGGTCGTATCATTGCTGGAACATGCCACAGTGCCAAGATGATGAGAACAATCGTTGTTCGTCGTAACTATCTTCACTATGTGAAGAAATACCAGAGGTACAAACTTGATGCATCATTTTTCTGTATGCATTGTTTTATACCCTTTCAGTCTGAACTACTAAGAAGGAATAATGATTCGCCATTCTTCTATAGGTATGAGAAGAGACACTCTAACATCCCGGCTCATGTCTCACCATGCTTCCGTGTGAAGGAAGGAGATCATGTTACCATTGGGCAGTGCAGGTAACTACACCTTTTTATTAAACCGTCGCCGATCATTAAGTGCTCTTGACTCTGCATTTTCTTAGACGTTGACTGAAATCTTCTCCTTCATTGCTGTAGGCCTCTTTCGAAGACCGTTAGATTCAATGTGTTGAAAGTTATTCCAGCTGGATCTTCTGGCGGCGGAAAGAAGGCCTTCACTGGGATGTGAGATGTAACGCACCCAGTTTTCTTGTGCGTTAGGCTGATCGATGAACCTTTGTTAGTTCGTTATGTAAGCTACTGGTGAAATTGAACAGTCTGGTTTTGGCAATCACTTGGAACAATTAGAAGCCTTTCTTGTCTCTCAACACTTTGATTATATGTGGATTGTTGCAAACACGATAGCTATTTTGTTTTGGATGCTCATTAACATTGTATGTGGTCTCCTAACATTATGCAATCCACATCGGATCATATCGGGAAGGATCGACATGTGGTTTCAATTCCCTTTTCGGGTATCTTGATTTCATGAATCTGAAGGTGGATGAAAACATGAGCGATCCAGCCGGGTTGAACATGTTTTCTATTCGATTTTAGTTGATGATTCCGGTGTCTAATTGGATTGGATTGATTAATCATGAAAGGAACCTTTGATTTTTCCATTGCCACATTGATTGTCTATTCGAATGATGGAGCTGCATATACGTACGGCAATTTTGATGCATGTGATTAACATGGTGAAGATTGTTGGAGGTTGTGAACTTCCTCTCAGTGTGGAAGAAAGACTTCATGTTCATGTTCTAGAGGAACAGTACTGTCGGCACCAGGCAGTTGTGTGTTGACTTTCATATACGTTGATACAGTAAGTTTGGCTAGAAGTTAGGCAAAGGGAAAGGAGTAATAAAGGAAATGATCATGTGCCTAGCCCAAATAGGCAACGGTTCACTGATTTGTTGTTATTGTTAGGAATTCATAGTGAATTCTGAATTGGATGAGAAAATGGAGGAACAAGAGTGAATTCATGTGGAGAAGTTAGTGGCCATGTTCATCCTTGGACCTTGGGTGTGATGGCCTAAACAACGGTTGGCATGTGTTGTGTGAGAGAGATATTTTTTCCAGTATACTAGATATGGTGGTTGAATCTTGGCCAGTTGGCCTAACAATCTGGAAGAAATAGGTATAATTAAAAAATTTCTTGTTGGCGGTGGTATTGTAAAAAAATTCTAAAGAACAATTTATTATGGTAATTATATCTCTGTAAAGGAGGCATCCTGTTAGTTTAGTTGTATTCGTGGGATTTTTCATAATCTTCTAACAATAACTGAGATGAATACAAAAGATTTTCTAACATACTTCTTCGAGCATTATTCAAAGGGGGATGTGAGCAGCCCACTTGACCGGTCTCCTCATTCCCCAACGAGATCCAAATCTCAATCTTAATTTTGTAAATCTGGTCACCTTCTTCAACCACAAATCATACGCTGCTAGAGAGTAGAATGATCACAAGTTCATATGACGTTATGTTAATGTTTGTGATGTTATGGTGAAAGTTGGTTGCTCTGACTTTATGTCTTTGTAATTTACTTGTATTTAGGGGGGATCAAAATTATGCATGTGTGTTGGAATAACGAATTTTGAGTTTTTTTTTTAATATTATTCTTTTACTGGTTCGATCTTTGGGGTGGTAAACCAGATAAACGGTTCATTTTTTGCTCAATTTGGTCTGTCCAATTCGGATAGTACTGAACAAGAGTGTACAAACATGATATGATCTATATCTTATGGCAATTGTTATGATTTGTGGTATGCATTCCAGCCTCTCAATATGAACCGTCAATCGTATACATATGATCCGATTTGAATCCAACCACACGATTTCACAGTACTCAGTCCTCCTCAAAGTCGGAATGCATCTATCTAATTGACAAAATTTCCACCACCAACACTATGTAGTGCCCATCTAGGAAAATATATTTTGTGGGAGAAAATGGTGCTATGTTGGTCGAATCACTTTGTGGCTTGTGCTTCTATACATTTCGTGGAAAGCAAAAAGGGGGAAAAAGACCAAACCTATTTGTCATTGTCTAGCATATCAAAGTCTTCAATTCGATTATATATCTTTCATTTTCGCAATTGCCCCAAAGACTTCACTTTCATATCTTTTTTGTATTTTTTTAGGATTGATTACTTAGCTATGGGAAACTTGCAATCCACGTTGTTTGGATGTAGTTCATGGTTAACAAAAAAGCAATCAATGAAGTTGATGATGATGCTATATAAGAATGAATCCTAGATCCATATGCTCCACTAGAAAGAATATACAATTGTTCACACTTGAAAGGATATGATAATAAAGGGAAAAGGTAATAAACATGTACAATAGTCTACTATATCATTTAAAAAGTAGATTCAAAGTCGTTTTCGTTACAAATCGAGTGAACACGATTTTAGTAAGTCGGATTTCGTGCGGGAGGGGGGTGGTTTACTACTTCTATTTATATATTTGAGTGAGTCGAATATGGTAAGGATATTGGATTGGAAAACCCTACTGCATCGAGGTTTTGTCACTACATTCTTGTAACCGATTGATTTATGAGTACTAAACATATCCCTGATAACAATCGTATCATATATACTTAACACATAATTTTTTCCCGCTCAAGTCAAGTTATTTCGGTCAATCTCTCTTTCTTAAAGCTTCAAACTATGATGCAACTTTCCATTAGTAATGAAAAAGTGGGAGCAAAATTAAATTAAACGAGGGAATTGGGTACACGTTGTCATTCAATTACTCCTTTGACAAAAAAAAAAAAAAAAATTGGAGGGTGATGGAGAAAAATAATTGAAACTCTTATTGGTTGCAATCAGCCAACAAACTTTTGTGTAGCTTTTTTCTCCATTTAATTTAAAGGCATCTATGAAGTGTGAAAGATAATTAATTGTAAATTAACCCACCACGAGTTGGTGAGATAGTCAAATGTGCAAGTTCAAATTTAACCATTTTTCGTGTTCCAATTTCGACAATAATCGTTTATGTATTACAATTATGAAGAACAATAACAAGATTGTTGTTGCTGTAGAAATCATTTTTAAGTATTTGTCGAGTGTTAATAAAAATTGAGTTTTGTTGTGTATTGCTATTTTTTTCCGTGACAAAAATCATATTTATTTGAACCACTCGAAAAAAAAATACACATGAGTTACTTAATTGTCAAATTGTTTGCTTAATTTAGGTTAACTTTTCTAGAACCATAATTGGACCATTGTAATGTTGTTATCCTCGAACCATTTGAGTTTTTATTTTTCTATTGAAGAGTGTTGTGATTTGTTATTTTCCCTTTGTTTCGTGAAGGGGACAAGATGTTGTTAATGATATTATTACACAGAAGACAATGGCACTTTGAATATGCCATTGACTTGATCAAATAACAACATATTTCCGGTCCTTTAAATGTTGAAAACCTACCCATAATCGTATATATGGGTGACTATACGGTCCGGTCCGGTTAAATTGGCCCGAATTGATCTGGTCCTGGTCTGGTTTTTCAAGAATATAAGGATAAAAAATTGGATTGGATACAGTCCGGTCTTGATCCGGTCCGGTCTCAATTCGGTCTTGATTTTAGATTGAGCTTGTGGAAATTTGATTGGCCTGAGACCTCAAAAGGTGAGGAGTTGGCTAAGTTTTGGGTGTTGGGCTCTCTTATCCGGTCTTTATCCGGTCCCAAACAATTTTTTACCTCAAATCTAAGCCCGAAGATAAGATTTGATTGTTTGCTATCCGGTTCCGGTCCCGATCCGAGTTATACGGTCTAGTTTCGGGTAAATCCAAAAAGCCCGTACTAAATAACCAACCCTAATCGTATTCTTTTTACCCACTTGAAAGGCCAATTGCACATACAATCTCTTTCCCATTTTTCGATTTGGAATTTTTACTCATTAAAATTGTAATATGGATGTATAGTGCCATACTATAATCCGGTTTAATAATTACGAGTGATGAAGCCAGAAATTCGAATGAGGAGGATAAAAAATTATGTACGGAGAATTTAAACGGACGAGGAAAGCTAACGTCTTATCAACTATTATATTTTGCCAATTTATTACAAAAGTTACATGATTTTGAAAGTTGAGGGGGCTATAGCCTCCTGTAGCTCTGCCACTGGTAATTACATTCACATCATGATTTAGCACAGTGAGAAATTACTAGTGTATTCAAGTCTTGAACTTTTTAGTCTTGAAGGTAATAGACTAATAACATTTCATCCTTGAAATTCGATTCCAACTTAAGGTAATGAGTAAACATGACAATGAGTCGATTCATTATATAATTTGACCCAATTGTCATTATCCATATAAGTATTGAGTTGGACTTAAATGGACTCATATGCACTTTTAATGATATTGAGTTTGGGTACGAAATGGATCATGTTTGGGTTAATTCATTTGGGTTTGATCCAAAACGGGTCTAACTGGGCCTAGATTATTGTATATCATTGATTAATCATGGTTAATCCTAACACCCAAAACTATCTCCAACCACTCTCTTTTTTCCGTTGATTGTTTAACTCAATGGTTTTTTTTTTTTTAATAATCCAAGAACCTCAGCCCCACGTACCACTTTGCGACAGCAGGTCCTACTAAATCTGATTGTCACCTGCATTCAATTCGACGCCAACGAGACTTCGCCCCAGCAACTTTATACCTCGAGAACACCGACGGGTTTCGAACCTAGAGTATGATAGTATGATGGATGTTTGCATCCTCGCATTACACTAACACACTCTTTCATATAGAAAAAAAAATTAACATAAAAAATCTGGAAATTTCTAACGGCTCCCATTCATCCATTCAGCAAGACATCTTCCCAACTACTGCTCTACCCTTTTCTCCTTGTTTTTCCATTCAAGCTATAAAGAAAAACAAAACAAAGCAAAATAGAAAGCACCTCAGATTTTGCTCCCAAACATATTCCACAGAATCTTCTTCTCCTTTCTCCCGTCTTCCATCCCCACACCACCAATTATACTCTCCCATTTCCCCTCTCTCTTCCTCTAAATTTCCCCCATCCCCTGTTCTCAGTTGCTTCCTTGGATACCCACACCAAAAACAAAAAAGCCTCCAACTTGCTTCTTCTACAGCAGACTTTTGGACCGAATAAATAAACAAAGATCGCTTTTTTTTTTCTACCCGCAACTTCTTCCACTTGGCCACAGGACCAGAGGGAGTAGAAACAGAAAGAGGAACTGTATAAAGGGAGGGCCGAATCATGTGTGTTCAAGACGCTGAGAGCGTTGCTCAGGAAGCGGAAATGGAGGAGGAAGAGAAGATGGAGAAGAACGACGGCGGCGGAGGAGGAGGAAGCAGCGGCGGCAGTGATAACAGGAAGCAAGCTCGGCCGTTTAGGCCTGCCCAGATGGAGAATTGGGATAAAGACTCTTCCTTTGTGGCCCCCGGCGCCGGAATCAGTGTCGGCGGCAACTCCTGCCCTGTAAGCAATCTTGAAGAGAATTGTCAATTGTGGTCTTAATCAAGTAGTTCCATTTCATTTCTGAGTTCGATTGTGATTGTTTTTATTAGTTAGTTAAAATCCACAGTTCGTTACTGTTCTTGTGATCCAATCAAGGCTTGGTTTTTGGTTGGGGGGAATTTGTTAGGTGAGGGTAAAAGGCCAATTTGCTGGGATTCAGACTTGTGGGGTGATTGAGGAGTTTTCAGGTGATTGTGGGGGGTGTTAATCATGGCAACAGGAATTAACCTTTTTACTTTCTTTGGGTAGCTTTCCTCTTTTGGGGTGTCAATAATGTGGCCAATCAGATTCCATCCAAGAAATTTGGTTTGTCTTGTTATGAATTAAAGTTTAACATTTACTTTTGAGAGCAAGTTGATTACACTTGGTGTGTTTTGCTTTCCATTGTCTGATTCTTGTTTCCTGTTTTGGGGATTTTGATTCAGCTGGAGAGCATTAGTGAGGATAGAGTCTCAACAGAAAGGAGGACGACCAACTTTGTTCCTGCCCTTAGGTCTGGGGAGTGGTCTGATATTGGTGGCCGCTCTGAAATGGAGGACACTTATGTTTGCATTAGTGACTTGGCCAAGAAGTTTGGTTATGATGATCTGCTGACACAGGAGACCATTTCTCTCTATGGTGTAAGTGCTCATTGTCCGAACACTTAACTTGATGAAGATCCTTGAAAGATGTTCTTGACTTGAATGTTAAAACACTTGATACAGGTATTCGATGGCCATGGGGGTAAAAGCGCGGCACAGTTTGTCCGAGACCACTTGCCAAGGATCATTGTTGAAGATGCAGACTTTCCTCTTCAGATGGAGAAAGTGATTGCACGTTCATTCGTTGAGGTAGATGCTGCATTTGCAGAATCTTGCTCTTCTGGTTCCACGATCTCGTCTGGTACAACTGCACTAACCGCTATGATATTTGGGAGGTAAGCATCCTGGCTTTCTCTACTGGTAAATCAACCAGTAGTCTTCATTTGCAGAACTCTTTAGTTTCTCGAGTTTCCTTTCTGAAGTCATAAGATTGGAAAAATTTAAACTCCATTCTTTTCAATTCATATGACAGATAAATACTTGATTGATAAATTGCTTCTGGCTTCTTCAGGTCAATGCTCATAGCAAATGCAGGTGACTGCAGGGCAGTCTTATCTAGAAATGGAATGGCGATTGAGCTGTCCATGGATCATAGGCCATGCAGCATGATCGAGAGACTCCGAGTTGAGTCATTGGGTGGGTACGTCGATGATGGTTATCTCAACGGCCAGTTGAGTGTTACACGTGCATTGGGAGACTGGCATCTCGAAGGGATGAAGGACGCAGGAGAAAAGGATGGTGGTGGCGGCCCACTGATTGCTGAACCAGAGCTCAAGCTAATCACATTGACACACGAGGATGAGTTTCTGATCATAGGTTGTGATGGAATCTGGGAAGTGTTCTTCAGCCAGAATGCAGTGCACTTCGCTAGGAGGAGGCTTCAGCAGCACAATGATGTGAAGCAGTGCTGTAAAGAAATGGTGGAGGAAGCTATCAAACGAGGAGCGACTGACAACTTGACAGTTGTCATCGTAGGCTTTCACTCCGAGCCACCTCCATCAACTGTAGTTCCAAAGGGGAGAGTGAGGAGGAGCATCTCTGCTGAGGGACTGCAGAACCTGAGATGTCTACTACAAGGATAATGCCGAAAAAAGTTGTCTTCTTTTCGGTTTTCTTCACCCATACTTTTAGGAAGGGTAGAAGCTAGTCAATAATGGTGTATAACCTTTGCTGGCTTGATCTGTTTTTGTAAATACATTCATTGGGGAACAACAGATTTCCCCTTGCCGTCATTCAGAATCGCGGAACTGTAATATCAAATTCTGGACTAATAATGTCTTGAGATGTATATACATATATAATTGATCCTCTTTTACCACTCATTTGTCCTCTATATTGAATCCAGTCAGACTGATGCTAGGAAGTGGCTTTAGAGTGAAACAAACATGTCAAAGTATTCAGCAGCATACCTATATATATGATCATATTATGAGCTTCTGTTCAAAGTGTACAAGAAGACAAAGGCAACTTGTGCCTAAAGAATGAGATCTTAATGCTGTGTAACAGTGTAAGCAAGAAATTCTCAGCCTTCGTTCTATTCCCGTAAATCAAAATCTCTAATATCAAGTATCAAATGTACAGAGAGAGTACAACAACAAAACAAGACAACATATCAACAAAGAGACTTGTCAGTTTGAAGCTGTGCTCTGCTGAGGTACAAGAGTTCTCCCATAAAGCTTCTCTTCAATCTCAATTTTTGCCAGCCGAATCAAGAAGAGAGCCGCAAACGAAATGGAAACAATAAGCATGAAGAACACGCTGTTCCACCCTCGTGTCGATATGTAACCCGCCAGAAGGGGACCAAGAGCTGCACCAACCGACCCAGTACCATCGATTATTGCAGTCACGGTTGCTAAAGCACGGGAGTTGCCTTTGATTGTGTCCTGTGTGCCAAGGTCAGCCGCGACCGCTGTGGTGATTAAAGCATACGGACCATTCACAAGTGAACCAGAAATGAACATCAGTGCAATGTTGGTGGCCATGGATATGCTTCCATAGACCCTGTACAAGATTAAGGCTGGGATTGATAGCAACAAGAACATCACAGAGGTTACTGCACGAGCTTCGATCTGATCGGATACAAACCCTGCTACAATTCCACCAAGGACTCCTCCTATATCAAATACCGTCGAAAGAATTCCGGCAGTTTTATGTGACAAATGGACCCCAGCAACAGCTGTAATAGTAGAGAGCTTGTGATTAGGATCAATAAGCTAACAAGGAAGTTCAGTATTGAAGGAAAGCAGGTGCATTACCTGTGTGCCTAATGTAAAATGGCAGCCAATATAAGAATGTGTAAGCAACTAGCTTGGAGAAGAAGAGGCAGAAAGCAAATGGTGCAACCCCTGGCAATCTCCAAGCTTCCAAGAATCCAATAGCAGTTGAAGAAACTGAATCTTCCGTCCCCAGAAGCACAGTTTCCTCTGATTCGCCCTTTTCAGCTGTCTCAACACCATTTGTATTCTCATTCATCTCGATCTCCTTCCCTGGTAGCTCATATCCCATCTCCTCAGGACTAACAACTAAAAACAAGAACACCAAAACTGCAACTAATATGATCAGAAACCCGGGCAGGACGAATGACCATCCCCAACCAAACTCCAAAACTGCTGAAGCCAATACCGAGCCGACGATGTTTCCTACTGATGTGTGCGAAGTCCAGACTCCCATTATCAACCCTCTCTTTGATTTCCCAGACCAATTCCCCACTACTGCCACCACACAGGGCCATCCTATAGATTGAAACAAGCCACACAAAATCTGCACGCCTACAAAGAATGCTAACCAATGTATGTCCAACCAGTACCCTAATCCAAACACAACTGTCAAAACTCCACTGCCCACCATCCCAAAGACGAGGAACAACCTCAAATTGATCCGGTCTCCAGCGTGTCCTGCGAAGTACATTCCAAATGCATATGCTGACAAGAAAGCAAGATCTAGCTCTCCAAGCCGCTGTGTGCCCTCAGTTCCATTGAATGGAGCCCAGCCTGCATCGAGAGAGCTCGAATTCGACTCTGCCAATGATGAATTCGATGTGGTTGGTCCCAGGACGCTTTTAACAATGCTGGGGGGCTTTCGTGATGCGTGGAAGGAAGCATAAGCAAGGAAAGTGATGATCAACACTGCAATTTGATGGAAAGTCAGGGTTTTGTGAGGAGGTTTGAGAGACGGGCAGAGGCTAAAACCCGGTGGGAGGCTGCTTTGGCTTATGGATTGCATTTTTGCTGATTAGAAAGAACGAATCATCCAAAAACCAAACCTTCCTGATTATAACTCTCTACTACCCAAATCCCACCGATCCCTCATCAAACTCCTGGCATTTGCACATCAAAAGAATCAAAAGCTGTCAACTTTTCTAAGCAATGTGATCGAACCAATGACCAGGATGAACAATACGAAGGAAAAATTCAAAGGGTTGATTTTTGGATCGGCGAATTGTTGACCCGGCAAAGAATTTCGTCAATGCGAGTCGGGCTTCGAGCTGGAATTTGGGAGGGAAATAGGAAAAATGAAGATAGGGTTAGGGTTGGGACTCCGGGAATCTCAATTTGATGATAAATCGTGACCAATATGGCGTTGAATGGTGGCGGCCAACACTGGCCGCTCTTCCGGAACGCGTACCGGACTCCGATGGAAAGAGATACTAATATCCCCGATCCCACCGGACTTTCAAACAAAGCCTTAGATCTCAGGTGATTAGTTAACGAAATCAGAGACGCATCCCTTTTTCCCACTTTTGCAAGTGGGTCGTTGAAAGGTCCGGTTGTTGTTTGCCTATTTGGTACTCAAATTAGGTTTTATAGTTATACATTATTATTATTAGGTAATAGGGCAAGTAGAATTTTATTTTTAGCTATTAGTTTAGATAAGATCATATCCATGGTAAAATCTAACTCTTGCATATGATACACAAGAACTATTGGTTTCTGTGACGAAACTCGAATTAAAAGCTCACTTGTCGACAGAGTCAATTATGACGGTATTGAAAATAGTTTAATTTGACCAGTTTGTGCTAACTATCATACAGTGATCATGAAAGTAAGACGAGTGACTCCAAACTTTCAACCTGCCCTTTCAACCATCTACGAGAGACTGGCAACTATTGGTTTTTGTGACAAAACTCGAATTAAAAGCTCGCTTGTCAACACAAACAATGATTGGTATTGGAAATAATTTAATTTGACTAGTTTGTGCTAACTATCATACAGTGATCGCGAAAGTAGGATGAGTGACTCCAAACTTCCAACCATCTATGAGAGACTATACATTATTGTTCTTGCCACAGATAATTTAATACATGTGGCAAAAAATCAACAATACAATTTGACATCCACTACCACTGGTAAATTTGCATATGATACACAAGAACTATTGGTTTCTATGACGAAACTCGAATTAAAAGCTCGCTTGTCGACACAGTCAACTATGACTGGTATTGAAAATAGTTTAATTTGACTAGTTTGTGTTAACTATCATACAATGATGGCGAAAGTAGGACAAGTGACTCCAAACTTCCAACCTGCCCTTTCAACCATCTATGAGAGATTGTACATTATTGTTCTTGCGACGGATAATTCAATACATGTGGCGAAAAATCAACAATACAATTCGACATCCACTGCCACTGGTAAATTTGCATGGTACAATTGGAATGGATACCCTATATGTCGTAAAATCAGAAGGCGACGATGGCAGGCTCATGTTTAGTCGTAACTACGAGCGAACCCTCCGAGCCTGCACACAGTATCCATTGGCTAGATTGCAAATTCAGGGCAAGGGCAAGGGCAAGTGAGCAAGATCAAGCAACTCTGTCTGAAAGGTATCTCTACTTGTATCATGTGCATGAAGTGCTGTAATCTGTATACTGACTGGTATAATGTGAGAGGGTGAATCCAACTCAAAAGGTGACTCATAAACAAAATTAACTTCTTCGGTTCCTCAAATCTCAGAATATCCCCCAGTTATTTGGAAAAAAATTGGAAAAGCCAACTAAAACCTACATTCAGAAAGATCACAAAAACAAATATAAATAGGCCATTCACCTGTACTAAAGAAAATCCAATACCATCCATTATTGATTCTCAACAACAGCTCTCTATCGCCACAAAGCACTGCCTCCTCAATCCACCGAAGCTCCCTTACTCCCTCTGCATCGCCATGGGAAGAGTAAGGACAAAAACAGATCAGTGTTATCCCAACAGGCTTGAGTATATACATAATCAAGGAGAGATCTTGAATGTATGTACCCTTTGGCGTTTTGAGTTTGGACTGCTTGGATGTGAATCACTGCTACGACGGGACGTCCCTACCCCATTGTTCTCAACCTGCAAAAAGCACCAAAAAGATTATTAAAAGTTTAGGACTTTGATTGGATTGACTCGCAGAAGTTTATGGCTAGTGGTGTCATTATGCTTCAAGTACCTGGCTCGAAGAATCTTGAGACCTCTGTGCTTCTCCCTGAGAAGCATCACCTGGCCCACCATGTTCAGATACCACCGGCAAGATCTGTCGGAGTAAATTGGAGAGAAATATCCCTTCCTCGCTTGGTCTCGATTCTGATCCTTCTTCAGAGGCAGCAGTAGCTGGTGCACCGTTCTGAGGGGCAGGAGGAGGGTTTGCTGTTGTTGTTCCTGGGTCGCCACCCGCAGCCTCAACGTGGATTTCTCCTCCAGGAAACAAAGACCTCAGGAACTGCATGACACTTCCAGGGACCTGTCTATCAGATTCCTGACCAGTTCGGGCCCCACCAGCTGCCGATAGAATGTTGATGTTAATGCTACGGGTGGTAGTTGAGTGCTCTCTTGGCCGAACCTCGGCATTCTCATCATTTTGTGCAGCTTGAGGAACTGCCTGCTGCTGTGTTTGTGCTTGAGACCTTTGTCCGGAGCCCACCGGCGGAGATCTTCCGAGAAAAGGATGACCTATTGAACCAGGGATTGCTGCTGCTGCAGTGGCAACCACGGTTCTAATGGGCACCACACGTACTCCGGATTCCCCTGCGAGCGTCTGATTAGCCGTGTTCTCAGCACTACCACCAACTGCAGGATTTCTCTGGCCAGGGTCACCGCGTTCATCGTTTGTAACAGTAGATGAGGTGGTTGACGAACCTTAATTATTGGTATTCACAAGTCAAAGAACTGAAATTTTCATGGAGTTTATAACCGATTAAGAAATGATAAACACTTTACGGTTACCTCCTCTCCGTATCTGAATATCAATGCGACGAGGAACAAACCCAGAACCAGGCTGCACAGAGCCCATAGGAAAGCCAGCACCGAGTGTTGCTCCTCCCGGTTGGAAAGGAAGAGGCTGTTTGTAAACCAGTAACGATCAAAAGAAATGAACTAAGAAAAGCAGAATGTATTTTATGCAAGGTACCATTAATTATGACCTGAACCATGAGAGGATTTGGACTGTTGGAGTTTATGAAGACTGCAGGACCAGTATTGACCACAGCCTCTGACTGATTCAACAAAGATCAGTTATTAATGACAGGAGTACTTGAGATGAAAGGATGTTATAGATGGTCCGAGGAAGAAAGAACTCTACCGGTGCTTGACCTAGTCGTAGAGTCATGGTTGTCCGTCCCAGTTCAAGTAGAAATGCACCCAGGTTATGAAGTTGAACTCCTGTCCTCCATGCAGTAGTTTGAGTTCTCAACCTTGCTGAAGAATCAGTCATACTTTCTTGGGTGTTTAATTGCCTTCCAAGTTGCTGATTACCATAGAAAACAAGAGATTGGAAGTGATTGACCAGGATGAAGACAAAAGTTCCCAACATGGTCTGAACTGATTTGAGTGAACGTGATAGAACAAACGTACTAGTAAGCTTTCAGAAACTTGTTCAGTGAGCAATCCTCTGCTGGACAAGATGACCTCCGCCAAGGATGCCGGTGTCGGAAGTCTTCCCTCTACATTTCCAGATTCTGATGAAGAGGAATTAGGATCTCTATGCTCCGATCTGCTGATGTCGTCAGTTTGAGAATTGTTTTCACTACTTGTACCTGTCATTTTGATGGCCATTTGAACACACCATAGAGATAAATAACATGATTTGAAGAGCATATGCAATATTGTTTTATTGATATCACGTGACTGACCAATGTGATTGAATTCACGCCTGATATGACTTAGGTACTGGGACAAAGTTGTCAGTGCATCAGGGATAACCTAAAGTTACCAATGACAAGGGGAGAAAAGAAAAGGTTCTAGTGAGCATTAGGTTCGAAAACATTACATTGCATCTAGAAAGCAGGGAGAGAAGGGTTTCTAACTCACAGGAGGGTGTAAAGAAGACCCCAATGAACCTACAGCGGGGATTCCAAATGCACTATGTGATCTGTCAGACTGAACTCTAGCACCAGCTTGCTGGTTTATCTCGAATGTGGCACCAGCAGATGATGTTCTTCCCAAACCAAGGTCCTTAAAATAGCATAATGGAAAAAGGCGTATATTTAGTTCATGAAAAGAAAAATGTATTTAATTTCATTGCATATATCTGTAGGTATCTAGATTTTAGTTTGTCAATAGCAGGGTGTTTGAATATGTGTGTGTGAGAGAGAGAGAGAAGAGGGTGGAGTTACCCTTGTTACATCAGCCCCATCAATGGCACTTCCAAGACTGGACATTCCAAAGGACCCAAGGACAGCAGAAACAATCTGGATTAAATAAGAAAAAGTATAAAACAATAACACATCACCACATGATTAACCCACTCAAACCATCAAGAACGAGCTCCATTCACCATCAAGTTGCAGCCTCACCCTACTTATTTCAGGAGGAACTCCTCCATCCCCTTGATCAGGCATACTGAGACTTTCTATAACAACACTGGGACCCCAACTTGCAATTGAAGCAGATGGATCAGCTGCAGAAAAGCTGTGACTCCAACTTGAAAATGAAGTAGGATCAGCTGCAGGAAGGCAAAAAACACTTGCAGTTAAATCATACTAGATTACTTATGGAACATAAATTAAGCAATCTGTCATGTGTAATGGTTTTATTTGAGTCTCAAGGATGATAAAACACCGCAAATGTATAGTACAGAGGATGGCTTATATTCAAAGGTTATTAAACTACAAATATGACAACAGCAAACAGAATCCTTCCTTTTGCCCCAAAGAATGAGTTTAAGAGCTGATTGCTGTTGGTGCGGCTTAACATAAAACCATAGAATTAGGACTCATGTAAAAAATTCCCAGAAAAGGAGCTAAACAGTGTGAATTTAACTTGGTGGCAGGGCAATGACTTCGACCTTTGTGGCATATGGTCTATCAAAATCTAGCAGACCCATAACGTGAAGCAATGATAAATGAAAATTGATCAAAATCACACCTTGGTGATCATGCAAACTCTCAGATGATGGTGGGACTGGTTGCCTGACCACCATATGCAAGGTGTGACCATCTTCCACGTCTAGTCGGAGTTATGGAATGAAGACAAACTTGATTGACAATATCAAACAACAGAAATGGCAGGTAAAGTAAAATGATAATATACCAAAATATGATGGAAGAGAAATATGTAAGAATCAGCAATAACAGCTTGACTTAATTTTTTTTTTTTTTTTAAAGATACGATAGGCAGAGAGAAGTTGATCATCCTTTAGAACTCTTCCACGGCATATAAGACGTTGTTGTTCAGATAAGACACCGGTAACAGAGGCAATTTGCTCTTTCAGAGCCGGAACTGGCATCTGCAATATAGGCAACAAATAAGTATAAGATCATAACCTTATCATGCATAGGTCATAATTACA